TTTAGGGTTACATTCCATTTTAATTCATGTGGACTTTCTTTTGAAATTACAATATTCCACCACATTTGGAGTCATCTGGGTAACTATAAATGATCAATCATATATGAAACTCTAAGACATTAAGGTCATCGCAAAGAAACTAAATGAATCCTTTGCATCAGTCTTCATGGCAAAGGGTTTTAGGGAGATTACTAAACATGAGCCATTCTTTTTAGGTGACAAATCTAAGGAATAGTCCCAGACTGAGGTGTTGTTAGAGGAGGTTTTGGAACAAACTGATAAACTAAATAGTCACTGGGACAGATGGCATTCACCCAAGAGTTTTGAAAAAACTCAAATGTGAAACTGCAGAACTACTAACTGTGGTTTGTAACCTATATTTTAAATCATCTTCTGTAACCAAATGACTGGAAGATAGCAAACATGACACCAATTTTCAAAAAGGGCTCTAGAGGTGATCCTCAATTGCATACTAGTAAGTCTAACTTCAGTACCGGGAAAATTGGTTGAATACTATAGTAAAGAACAGAATTGTCAGACACATAGATGAACATAATATGTTGAGGAAAAGTCAGCATACTTTCTGTAAAGGGAAATCATGCCTCACTAATTTACTAGAATTCGTTGAGGAGGTCAACAAACATGTAGACAAGGGGGATGCATTGGATATAATGTACTAAGAATTCCAGAAAGCCTTTGACCAGGTCCACATCAAAATCTCTGAAGCAAATTAAGTCATGGGACAAGAGAGAAGGTTCCCTCAAACTGATAAGTGGTTAAAAGATAGGAAACAAAGGGTAGGAATAAATGGTCAATTTTCAGAATGGAGAGAGGTAACTAGTGGTTTCCCACAGAGATCCAGAGTGGGACCAATCCGACTCAACATATTCATAAATGATCTGGAAAATGGGGTAAATAGCGATATGGCAAAATTTACAGATGATAGCAAATTGCTAAAGATAGTTAACTCCAAAACAGAGTGTAAAGAGCTTAAAAAGAATCTCATGAAACAAGATGACCAGGCAACAAAATGGAATATGAATTTTAATGTTGATAATGCATACGGGAAAACATAATCCCAACTATACATACAAAATGATAGCAATAAAACTGGGACTTTTTAGCTTAGAAAAGAAGAGACAAAGGGGGGATATGATAGAAGTATATAAAATCATGACTGTGTGAAGAAAGTAGATAAGGAAAAATTATTTACTTTCTCGTAAAACACAAGAACCAGGGGTCACCAAATGAAATCAATAAGTAGCAGGTTTAAAACAAACAAAAGGAAGTATTTCTTAATACAACATACAACCTATGGAAATCGTTGCCAGAGGATGTTGTGAAGAGCAGGATTTTAACAAGGTTCAAAATGAACTAGATAAAAGCATGGATGATAGGTCCGTCAATGGCTATTGGCCAAGATGAGTAGGAATGGTGCCCATGGCCTCTGTTAGAACCTATAAATGGGGAACAGGGAGGGATCACTTGATGATTACCTGTTCTGTTCATTCCCTCTGGGTCACCTGGCATTGGTCACTGTTGAAAGACTGGCCTAAATGGACCTTTGGTCTGACTCAAGATGGCAGTTCTTATGTTCTAAACCATTTTCTTTGCAGGGAAAATGTGCATTACCAGATCTGCATTACATAAGCTTATGAAAACAATCCATACAACTCTGTTATTTACACAACTGGTTTTCTTGGATTTTGCCTAAATAATAAGACTTCACGGAAAATCTCATACTAGTGTAAGCTGTATTTTTGCAATCACGTTGGTCCCAGGATTTAAGAGGGAAAAGGTGGGCAAAGTAATATCTTTTATTGTACCAAATTCTAAGTTTTCAAGCTTATACAGAACACTTCTTCAGAAGCTCAAAAGCTTGTCTCTCTCACAAACAGAAGTAGGTCTAATAAAAGATATAACCTCATTCATCTTGTCTCTCTAAAATTTGTACTTGTTCTCTGTAAAATCTTGAGGCCAAATCCTGTAGTTCTTGCTTTAGCAAAACCCCACTGACTTCCAAGGATGTTTCTGTGAATAAGGCTTAGGCAAGGAATGCAGGGGTTGACTCTTATTTTCTATCTTCCACATCATGATACCAAAACAAACTATCTTCATTAACCCATAGGCACATGTGGTCACTAGTATGTTCAACAGTAAAATAGGCACAATCCAAATGTGTTAACAACAGTGAAAATACAAAACCAAAAGTATATCACAATCACTTTGCTTCCACTTTAACTGCACTAGAGATTTACCCATCTTTATTGGCTTTGTCTCTATAATATAATCCTTTAATAGTTGAAGGGTCAGAGGCATCAACTGGATAAATGAAGTTATGGATGAACAGAATGGTTATATGACGGAAGGACGAGAGAATAACCATGTGGCAATTAATTGGGAGTTAACTGGGATATGGTTAAGTAGTGATTTAATTTATCAGTTTATTTTCAAGATCTATTCTTTTTAGATGTTCCACCCAATCTTGCAAGAAAGAGATAACTTCAAACCAAGATTAAAAGCTGTTGCTTTACCAAAGTTATTACTTTCCTCAACTGAAAAGGAGGAATAATGGATTAATAAGAAATATTAATTCTCCACTTAAAAGATAGAGGAATCCACAACATCAAACTTCAGCAACAGACAACTAACAAAACCATTCTTTCTATGTATAAAGCTTCTGAACCTCTGGTTCTTGTGCCAATTGACCCAGAGGGAATGAACAGAACAGGTAATCATCAAGTGATTCCTCCCTGTTCCCCATCTCCAGGTTCTGACAGAGGCCATGGGCACCATTCCTACCCATCCTGGCCAACAGCCACTGATGGACCTATGGGAACTGACCTTACTCACTTGTCTTAAAACAATTCTTAAAAACAAATGATTCCCAAATGCTTTCACCTATGTATATTTTTTGTTTGTTTTTTAGTAGGTAACAAATATAACAACAACTCTGCTAATAATAGTATTTACTTTCCAGAGGTCCTCCAAGATTTGCCAAACTGACAAACTGCAAATTAAGTAATTAACTTCAGAATATGTTCCCTATTTTTTTATCTGTTCCACTTGGACAGAAAAGGTCATGGTCTCCTATTAGAAAAAAAGACAATTGCCTTCAATTCATGAAATGTTTATTTCACCATCATTGTTTTTAAACTTTGCAAACTGATTAATTATTTCAATTTTCTATTCTGGATTAAAGATTGAATTCTGAACCTTACCAAGTTTCAAGTTCAGAATATTTAGCATTTGAATGTTTTATTTATGTGATTTTAAACACTGGTGACAGAATTTACACATGCATCATCTCCAAAAGCCTTCACATAAACAGGAGATATAGTCAGCACAAACGAAATACAGGCAGTCCCCGACTTACGCGGATCCGACTTACGTCGGATCCACACTTACGAACGGGGCTTTCTCGCCCCGGAGGTCGGGGCGAAAAAGCCCCGTTCGTAAGCTGCTCCGGTGCCCCGGTCTGCTGGAGACCGTTTCCAGCAGACCAGGGGCACCGGGCGGGGTATGAAGAACCACTTCCTCTCCCCTGCTAGGCAGAGCCCGTGGGCCCGATGCAGCCTGTAACTTGCATTGATCCAGCCTGTTACGCTTGGGATTCCGGACTCCATAGCAGGACAAGCCAGCTCTGGCTTGCTCTGTTGTGGGAAGAGAGAGCCCAAGCCTCGTGGGCCGGATCAAGACATGCCGCATGCTGGGCCATAGGTCCCCATCCCTTTAACTAGATACAAATTTAATCACTAGCAGAACTTAAAATTATCGATAAGGTGAACTGATTTCGAAAGAACATGGTTTTCAAAGAAGAATAAATAAATTAAAACTAAATAAATATTTAGCTACCAGATTGCAGAAAATATCTCAAAAGTAAGTGACATGTTATTGCATATACAGGCAGTCCCCGACTTACGCGGATCCGACTTACGTCGGATCCGCACTTACGAACGGGGCTTTCTCGCTGCTCCGGTGCCAGCAGAGTTGCTCTGCCCCGGGCTTCCTGGAATCAGCTGCTGATCAGTTTCAGCAGCAGCTGACTTGGGGACGCCTGGGGTTCTTAAGTTGATTCTGTATGTAAGTCAGAACTGGCGGTCAGTTTCAGCAGTGTCTGAATCTGGACGCCAGTTCCGACTTACATACAGATTCAACTTAAGAACAAACCTACAGTCCCTATCTTGTACGTAACCCGGGGACTGCCTGTAGTTGCTATTAAAATAAACACAATTAGAAAATGTCACCAAAACAGCCACAGACATTAGCCTCAGTTCACTTCCACTGCTGAGATGGGAGAAGGAATTCAAGAAAATAAAATTTACCTGTAAAATCCTATGTCCAGAGATATATGGATTCCTTATTCACAAAGCATTTCTAATGTAAATTTATATCTACACTTGAAAAACTTCGCTTGATGGTCAAAATTATGTGACCTATGCTACTAACTATTGTTTTAACAGATTTTTAAAAAATAAGCTTAATACTTGAAGAGCACTGGATTGACAGTCCTGGAGTCTCAAGTTCTTTGTCAACAATATTGATGCAACACAAGCATGGCAACATGTGTTTCCACATACACTTACAGATACGAAAATCTCTAAGAGCCAGAGTGAGAAATAGTTAAGTCTACATATGTTTAAGAGAGCTAGGGAAATAAGAAAGGGACTCAAGTGACATTAAAAGAAAAAACATTTTAATTTACCTGTTATATAGTTTATCATAACTTTCTTTTAAAAGATCCTTCTCCTTTTCTAGGTCAATAATTCTATCTTGCAACTAAAATGAAGAAGAAAACTATGTAATGGTCAGCACAGAAGAAAATAAAAAACAATTATGAAAGTGACTAGCAAATATCTGTAGACTCTGACAAACATACTTTTATTTTTTTAAATTCAGCATTGTGTGTAATAGTGTCTTAGAATCATAAAAATAATATTTTTCTTCCACCAAATGTATCTCCACTTGGACAACAATGACTTTTTTATGTTATTAGTGGAGATGAAATTAACAAGTCTGGTCTGTGTTTAATAACAGCATCTAACTTTATTGTGGTTTATGCCAAAAAGTTTTGTTTTTAGCACTAATAACTGTGATAATCTTAGTACTGTTCTAGGAATGTCAGTAACTAGTTGGTGGCTTCTGTATAGTTAATTTTCTTTTGAATTTGCCACACAACACACATTATTGATTGCTTGCTTTTAAAACTTTTATTGAAGGGTTATAAGAATTTTAAAGCCACTATGCATTTACAAAAAAATCAAGAACTTTCCCAAGTATAACACTTTAGGGAGTTACTTTAAGTTTAAACTTTGCTGATGTAACAATAAATTAACAATAGGCCAATCTTTAGAAATGATTAAGTATATCAAGATACAGAGTGGAAGAACCTGAAGCATGATGCTGCAACCACCTTCTCCTGCACATAGTCAAGTGAAATACTAAGGGAGTAAAGGATGGACTGAAGGATCATCTCTTAAGTATGGATCAACACTAACTGGCATTTAGATTCTGCTGGCTAGTGGAGCTCAGGAACAGAAGTAGTAATTAATTTGACCTTCCATGTGGAAAGAACAGTCATCTGCTACATGTAAAAATCATTTAAAAGGATTTTAAACTTGCTGTGATTCAACAATATGGTGCTAAGAAAATATATGCACAATGTCTATTTTTTCTAACAAAATATTTCAAAATAGTGATGCTTATCTGAATACTCCTCTATTTTAAGCATGTCTCACAAGTATAGGAAATATTTTGAAATGTATAGCATCTTTGATATAGGTAACAGAATACGATTTATTAAAATAACCAAATTTTTTGCCATAAATGAAGTCAGCCTAATGTCAACATGAAAGTTCAAATGTATGCAGAAAAAGAGATCAAATATGTAGGCAGCCTATTAGAACAAAGGGCAGGTATAGGACATAGTTTTCAGACATAGGGAATTAGAATTTAAATCTATACTAAACTTGCTTTTAACCAAAAGGTCCGGGGCAATGATTTTTACAGCAACAGTTAGATTATCTTTTTAACTGAAATTACAGTTCTCTTACTAAATATTTCCAGAATCAGATTTAAATGCATATTAATACCTGAACCATATGGAATCTTACCTCTTCTATCCTTTGTTTTGAAAAAGTCATGGACTGTAATTCTCTCTCAAGATGGAGGCACTTTAAACGCTGTTCGTTAAGCTGCAGATTGAGTTCATTCCCGTTTGCCATTAAAGCATCATGGCTGGCCTTAAGGTTCCTTTGATTCTATAAAAAAACAATAGGGAAGGAAAAAAAGAAAAGAAAAGGTTAAGCTTCCAATAACAACACAATGATGATATAATTCAAGAGTTATAAATATGTATATATTCAAAATAGTAGTTGATCTTGCAAACTGGCACATAGTACACAGTTTCAACTCAGCCAACAGGAGGCACTCTTGAACTAAGCTTGACCCCCTGTAGGAACCAAATGATCAGTGTCAGCACACATGGCCAACAGAAAGGCAGTATTTTTCTCTCTCCTCAACATTAAAAACTTATAGTTAGTTATTATGAGAAGGATCCAAACTACATCTGCTAAAGCAAATAAAACATTTTGCTGTGGTTATAGTGGTTAGGTGTGCTGACCAAAAACACTGCAATAACAAGCAAAAGTTAAGACTGACCACAGCTATGCTAATCGCAGAACTTGACACAGCTCTGCTAACCCATAGTTTTAGATATTCAATTGATTTATATTCACAATTCACTCAGATGCATTTCCTTGGAAATAATATTTCAATGAAAGGCTTACAATTTCTTTGAAAATTTAACCTACTTCTTTATTAAATTTAGATACTTTAATTATCCTTAAATATTAGTCTAAGATGTTGGTAAAACCACATTTTCAGCATATTACTGATGATTATACTGTTCATATTTCAAAGTGTATTAATATCACTGATTCATTATGAAAAATTTCATTGTAAAATCACATTCAGACAAATATGGCTGTTAAGTTGTTTTGTTTCTGGTCAGTCTGCTATTTACCATTCTCTAAATCCAACATGAAATTATATAAATATAGGAATCTTTTATGGATGGTTTTGGATGGGGAAAGTTAGAACTGTGGAAAACATGAAAAATGTGTCGTAATATTTTCAGGAGTTTAAGACAGAAACTGATAGAGAACTTCATGCAACTTTGTTCAGTCTTTTCTGAGGAGTCTATGTGCAAAATGACTGCTCTTAAAAATGTAAAAAAAAAAAGTAATCCGCTTGATCTTTTACCTCTCATTTATCCATAAAATAAATCTTATGTAAAATAAGAAATATGGCAGATGTTCTTTTGCCAGAGACATCATGGAACAAATTAACTACATTATTTGCAGCCTTTGACTCCTTTCTTCAGACAGTTATGGGCAAATGCATCTGTATTCCTCCTCTGTAGTCTAGCGAGAGCACCCACTTTAGGTTTCTAATGCCACAGTTGCTGCCTTCCCCGAGGGCAGGGGGAGGGAAGAGGGAAGTACAAGTCTTTCCACCTTCTAAAATTTATCACGTATTATTACTCTATGGCTCATGAAATCCAGAATAACAGTTTCAGAACCAAAACCTCTTTATTTTTTCAATATTGCATAAGGGATAGTAAATAAATGGTCAGAATAGAGTTTCTGGGCCTTTCAAATCACAATGCAGGATTCTTTCATCCAATCAGCTCAAACAATGATGGCTGTCACTATATTAAAACATTTTCCCTAAACACGTATGACAACATGGACACATTTCAGGCCATTAGCTAGAGTACGAACTTTGACTTTCATCTTCCCCTGGTTGCACAGTAATTATGTTGGTTCAGATTAAAAGGGAAAATGGGAAGATAGTATTTGAAAATAATTAAAAGTACATGATAATTAATTTCAATATTTATGAACAAAAGTATTTATAGTTCTGAAAATCATACATCACTACTGAATCGTGTTACACTAAGTGTGTAATTGGTTTGATACTCAAATTAGAAATTATTTGCTGTTTTCTATGAAAAGTTAAATGTCATAATTACCACTAAAATTGTGCGTGTCTCACTTTTTCCAGGATAACTTTATCTCTGAGTTCTTGAATCAAAGCAAATACTTGGGCTTTGCTCGTTGGGCTTAAGGATACCCAAACGAACACACAATGAAATAGCCCTCTATTTCAGTTGCTTATTATTTATCTTGTATTTCAGGGGTTGCTAACCTTTCTGAGGTGGCGTGCCAAGATTTAACCCTCCTGCACAGGAGGGGCTCTCTCCACCGTGCACCCTGTCGACCACCTGGATCAATGCAAACTTTTCAGTCAACTACAGTTGCTAATGGAAACTCACCTTTGATTACATAATTACCCCCAAACCATTTTGTTAGTGCTACAGCTGAGGAGAATGGTTTAATTTAAATTATTAAACAGATTAAACTAACATGAGAAAGTTAAAATGCTTATCAAACTTCATTTTAAATAAAGTAAAATATTATGTCCAACACAAAAGGTTTAAATGTTTTCTTTATTTATAGCAGGGGTGGGAAATCTTTTTTAGGTTGGGGGTCCCTGACCTACATAAAAATCGGTTGGGGACCACACAAGTAAAGAGTAAAAGAACTCCTCCAAAACCCCTAACCCTCACTGGTGTGGCTTCCAACTGAGATACCTCACTTTAGCCTCCACTGGGTGAGGGGAAAGAACAGGGAGGACTGAGGTTCAGGGCTTTCCATAGGCCAGATTTATTTTTCTGGGGTTCCAGAGTTAGTGGATTTTGTGGACCCCTTAATCTCTGGGGTGGGAACAAAAATTAGGGGTTCAATGTGCGAGACAGGGCTACAGAGAGTGGGACAGGGACACAGGATCTGGGTGGGAGCTGGGGTGCAGGATGGGCTAAGGAGGGTAGGGTCTGGCAGGGAGTTTGGCGGCAGGAGAGAGGTAAAAGAGGGAGTTTGGGGGAAGGAGGGAGTTGGGGGAGTTATGCAGAAAATGTGAGAGGGTGAGAATGCAGCAAATAGCTAGTTGGGGTACGAGGTAAAGAAGTGGGGAGTAAAGAATAGTGCAGCTTCTGCAAAGTAAAACTGTATCCCCCCCACTCACATCTTCCCTCTTCTCCAGCCTCATTCCCCTCAGCCTCATGATCCTCCCCGCAGCCTGATCCCCTGCATTGCCCCATGCCCCCTCCCATCCTGCCCCCACAGCCTGATACCCTGAATTACCCCTTACCCCTCAGTGCAATTCCTGCCCCCTTCCATCCTGCCTCTTCACCTCCTCCTCCTGCCCCACATCCCTGTGCCCCCAGCACACTCACCGCAGGACAGCAGCAATGGGACTTGCAGCCCTCCCGGGAGCAGTGCTAGGATGAGGAGAAGTGGGAGGAGGCAGAGTCTCTTCCCTGCCTGGACTAGCCCTTTGCCTGCAGCTCCCAGGGCTGCCCAGGGCTGGCTCCAGCTTGGCCAGGTGCAGCAAGGCGCTGGGGAAAGGGCTCCCTACCCCTGCACACAGCCTATGAGGAGAAGCATGGTGCAGTCTGCACCTCAGCATGCCAAGTGTGCTGGCCATCCAGCCTCGGCTTTGTGGAGCAGGTCTAGCCCTGCCCCTTCCCAAGTAAGAGGCAGCCTCAGCAGGCATCTCCTCCACCCCCAGCAAGAAGTCAGAGTTGGTGCTCCAGCCTGCAGCTGCACAGGGGAAAGGGTGGGGCTGATGTCCCACCCTGCATGCCAGTAAAAAAGATTACGTGCCATTTGTGGCATGCGTGCCAGGAATTGCTGACCCCTGCTATATTTATTGATCCTTACTCTGCACTGTTAACACTGCAAGTATCCATTAAGGGTTCCTTTGGCCTGAAGTTTAAAAATTTGTCACTCTTATTTCAGTAAGTTTTCTGGCTTATAAACTTATTATTTGTTAGAGCGTTATTTCAGTTTTCAACTCTAAAGGAAGTGTTCACAACATAAAACAGAAAATCAATTTCTTATAAGAACTGGAAAGAAAGGTTTAACTCCAAAAAAGGCCAAAGATTTGAACTTATTGTGAATTAAATGAACTCCTGTCACACAAGGACAAACAATAGCCTCAATCTACATCCTTTACAAATAACAAATACATCTGGTACTGCTACATTTTAAAAAGGGAGGCTCCCTGCAGCCACACAGGTTCATTGCTTGAAGGATCCAAAGAGCACAGAAGGGAAAAGGAAAAACTTAAAAAACAACAACTAGACTAGTAGCACCTTAAAGACTAACAAAAAATGCAGATGGCATCATGAGCTTCCGTGGGTGCACAGAGTATTAGATGACTGGAGTATTAGAAGTCCAGATCTAAGAATAAATAAGGGAAGGGGGCAGGGGAAGAGGGAAAAAAGGAGGGGGACAGAAAAAAAGAGAGACACGGGGTGGTTGATTCAGTCATTAGGATGTGGAAGATAGTGTGCGAGCCAGCAGATGTCCCTGTTCATACCATTTGCATAAGAATTAATCTTGTAAATGAAGTTAAGTTCCTGTGTATTTTGCTTGTGGAATTGGTCTGAAGCAACAAAGTGACTTGGAGATTCATTAATGAATGTCCAGGCAGATTAAAATGTTCTCCAACAGGCTTTTGTATATTGCCTTTTTGGATAGCTGATTTGTGTCTATTAATTCTTTCCTGTAGAAACTGTCCAGTTTGGCCAATATACACTGCAGTGGGGCACTGCTGGCATAGATCACATTAGTGGATGTGCAGTTAAATGAGCCTCTGATTTAGTGGCTGATGTGGGTCCAGTGATGAAAAAGATAAGTGTAGTGGTCAGTAGGTTTCCAGTATAAGGTGGTGGAAATTTGTCCATCATTTAATTGAAGGGAAAATGTTAGCTGCTTCCCTGCCATTGTCCCACTTCTCCTTGGACCAGCAGAGGCCCTCACTGGTTACACAGTATACATGGGAGAGGAAGGGGCAGAATGTGCTATGAAGATGGAACTTCCAATCATATATGGAGTCCACCATCCAGCAATCAGACTTACTTCAGGTGGTTATTTTAGAGAAAACCATGCTTCATGGTCCTTAAAAATGATTTCGCTTATAGACACAAGTAAAAGCCAAATCCTCAGAATTCCGAACAATTTTTTTAATCAACACTCAGCTGTAACCCCATATTTAAAATTCACATGGAAACCAACCTTTGTTTTATGAAACCCTGCTTTAGAAAGATTTCAAACATCATGTGAGACAGCTAGAAAACTGTAGTTCATGCATATAATAAAAATTGGACCATACCAAACGCCAACACTCCCAGGGACAGGTTAATGGCATACAGTGAGATCTGTAGGGCTTGCTGGACCTATCTGAAAAACTACTTTAACACTGGAAACATTGTAAATTTCAGTTAGCTTCTCTGTAATAATTATACAGTCTAGTCTCAAGTGCTGAATGTTGTCATATGATATGGGAATGCAAGTTAGTTACCTCTTGAAGCTGAAGAAATTTTTCTTCCATTTCTGAGAGAGCATTGCCTTTCTCCATCAGTTGTTTGTGGAGCTTTATCATTTCCACATTGTCCCGAATGTTGGACCTTCAAAATTGTATAAAAAATAAACTTAGTGAGATTTAAGGTATAGCAGTAGTCTTATTAGTTTTGCCTTGAAAACTTAATATCCCTTGCAAATCAGTTTTTCATGGCTTCTTACTTCCACAACGCACTTGGGGGAAAGATTAGTGTGTAACAGCCAGCTTAGATCTTTCTTTTAAAATTTGCATTGTACATTTTAAGTAATTCTACATTTTTCTGGAAGATAACATGTAAATATCAATCATTATTTGGACATATATGTTGACAATATCATAACTACAGATAAACTACAGTACAGGGAGCAATCCTATGCTTCAAGTAGAAGCATCATTTGTTCTGCAATCTATCCACTTTCTTTTAAAGTATGCATGTGGTCATAGGCTTACTACTTACTGGAATTTCCTCAGAGCTTAAACTTTTCAAATATTTCCAAGAAAATTGACTTAACATTTTACATAGATAATGCCCTAAGATCAGCATTCAAATCAGCTGCAGATGTGTCTTTAACTGTATAAAAATATTTAACATCTAAGCAGAAACTCTATATACCTACAATTCTGTTATATATTGCTCCCACTGAGATTAAACTAAAAATTCATTTAATTAAAAATCCTTGTTAAAGATGATCACAGACCTAATAAAAAAATTCCTTTTTTTTTTAAACTACAGATGGCTAAAGGTGACACGGTTGTTTCTGCATATATTTCAAGCCAAACGAGAAGAAACCCTGAACAGCTTTCCACAAATACAAAATAAAGTGAGATAAAAATCAGAATACAGGAATAGAGCTTGGAATGTATATTTTCTCCTCTCATATTTATCTATCACAGACTACTGGAAAAACTGTCATAATGCCATACTGGAAACAAAAAATATACTACAAAGCTTACACATCTGTAAACCAGCTGAGGACTTGAAATACTTATTCTTTTAAATATCAAAGTTCACTGCATTCTAGTATTGCCCAGTAAATTGTCCTTGCATAAACAATACACAATTTTATAAACTTGGGATATTCCCTAAGAAATAGCCCTAACAAAATGCTAAAATAATTATGTGTACAAAACATGTTCTTTCTAGTGCAGGGCTACGCAACATGCGGCCTGTGGCCTGTTTGTTTGCGGCCCACGGTGCAGTTTGGGTTTATGCGATGCTCAACACGTGGCTCAAAGGATCCTTTGAACATGGCCTCCATTGGGAACATGCTCCACAATGGCAAGGCGTCTCCCACGTGGTGTGAGCATGGAAAGAGGCAAGAGGACAGGCTGGCTGGAACAGACAGGTACAGGATGTCGGTGTTTCTAGCCCCCAGAAAGGTGGTGCCGGGAGTGCCGGGGCATTGTGGGAAGTGCTGGTTGGTTAGCCCGTGGGCAGAGCCTGAGAGATGCTGACTGTCTCACATTGGCCAAGTTTGGGTCCGGTGCCACAGCTTAAAGTATAATGTTTGTATTCATGCCCGTCAGTGTGAAAGAAGCTATTTGCATATATATTTGCATGTATATGCAACCACACTTAAGTTGCGGTCCTCGATGTGTGCTGTATCATTGTGGACCCAGGGCTTCGAAAAAGTTGAGTAGCCCTGCTTTAGTGTATACAGACAGCAAAACTGTCTCTTGCTAGCTATTAAGGTAGTGGCACATTTTTATGAATCTTGTTCCACACTAACAAATAGCACTGATCCACTCGAATACTTTAAGCAAATAAAAGGAGTATATTATAGACTTATGATATGCAGATGTAACTGATCAGAAATAGTCAACATGGATTCACCACGGTCAAATCATACATGACCAACCTGACTGCCCTCTATGACAAGGTAACTGGCTGTGGATATAGGGAAGGCAGTGGAGTATTGCTTCCAATTCTGCCCCCCTACTCCCCCATTACAGAAAGGATTTGGATGCACTGCAGAAAGTCCAGTGGAAGGCTGGAGCACATCACTTATGAGGAGAGGTTGAGGGATTTGAGCTTATTTAGTCTAAAGAAGAGTGAGGGCAGATTTGATAGCAGCCTTCAACTACTTTGCAGGGTTCCAAAGAGGATGGAGAGAGGCTGTTCTCAGTAGTGACAGGTGACAGAACGAGGAGCAATGGTCTCAAGAGTTGCAGTGGGGGAAGTCTAGTATAATAGGAAAAACTATTGTACTAAGAGGGTGGTGAAGCACTGGAATGGTTTACCGAGGGAGATGATGGAATCTCCACACCCTGAAGGTTTTCAAGTCCTGGCTTGACAAAGCCCTGGATGGGATGATTTAGTTGGAGATGGTCCTTCTTTGGGTAGGGGACTGGACTTGATGACCTCTTGAGGACTCTTCCAATCCTATGAGTCTGAGATTCTAACTCCAATGGCTTAGGACAAACAAAATTAATGTGTATTGTCAACAGTGACAAACACTATTTGATTTAGGGATGTAAATATCTATTTTAAAAGTTAACTGGTTAACCAATTGTAAGCGTTTAACCTTTTAACCACAGAGGGCTGGTGCAGACTAGCTGGGGGCCTGCAGGGGGGGCTTATTAGGTAACCGGTTAACCTTTTACATCCTTAATTTTATTTGAAAGGTTTTGCCTATGTTTATTACCACACCAACCCTTTATAATCAGGAAGAACAGGTATTTATTAGAATTGAGTTTAGTTATGGCAATTTTGACAATATTTAATTTCATATAGTTGCTAGCTACAGAAATTTAAAAAATAATTATTTTTAAGCAATTTATGGATTTTAATACATAATTCCTCAAATATTTACAAAGCCATCCATTTTTTCCTCGCAGACGTACATTATTTTCACATTACTCCTAGTAAATGGCTCTGTTCTGGCTGGTCACATACACACATTCACACAGATGCTAGCAGTGGAGGGACACAGGGCAGAAGCTGCCTTTTCTATTTAGCTTCTCCTATAAATCCATAGAGATGCCTCAGGTTTTCCACGACTGACATCACAGAACAGTGAAAGAGAAATGGTCAAGGAGAAGATGATATGGTCCCTTCGAACCGTGTATGTACATATACTTAAGTGGCCCCCTAGACAGAGCACAGTTCCTCATCCCAATTATTCTGTTTCTGATCAGAAACTCTTTATGCAAAGGGATCATACAAAGCAGACATATTAATTCTGTCTCTTCCTTTTATAGCCAAAGTTTGGCTCCAAATAACTTGCTCTACTCCTTCCCAAAAAAGTTCTGCATGAGAGTAAGAAACATTTATTTGATATTATGGGCTTACTTTTTTCTTATTTGCATATCAATTACACCAGTGAAATTAAATTAGAATAGCTACATTGTAGTTACATGAATGTCACTGACACCTGCAAACTCTCAAATGGGACAACACTGAGACCATTAGTCAATGGCTATTTCTTGAAGACAGCTATTGCCATATTAGCTAAGCAAATGGCTCTTAACTCTTTCCATATTGTTAGACCACGTTCAAATAAAAAACAACTTTCAACTTTGCCCTCTCTATTCAGAGATAAAAAAAGAGAAAATAAGAGAACTGGCCAATATGTTTCAGTAGAACAGGATCAGTCTTCCATTAATGCCTGAGAAATTTATGCAGGTTAATCCTAATGATGAAAGCAAAAAATGTAGTCTCACCACAATGTACACTTTTTTCATTTCTACACCATATTTGAAATGACAAAACTATATATTAACTTAAATCATGTCCGTAACACTTAATGGGGTATCTCATTTATTTTAATGGTATTCAAATAAAGAAAAAAACCCCAATAATTTATTCTAAGTATCACACTGCTGTTGTGCATCTGCATGTGCAAATCTACATTGCTGTTTTCAGTCCAACTCAGAATTTGCATGTGGAAATATGGATTTTGGATGTTGTGTATGTAGCAAAACAAATACACACTCAACAATCAGCAAATCCCTGATATGTAGACACACAAGCAAGTGTGAGCATGAGAAGTCAGATGGAAATTTGCATACAAGTTTCTATTTGAGCTGGGTCTGATTTGGCAAAGTTTTATCCATGTGTAGTTCTACTGTATCTCCCTTGCTATATTAGGTCTACTATGTTTGGTTTGTCTGCTCTGGGACTAGAACTATTACATTGAAAACACTGTAGAGTCAAGATAATTTAATGCACTGAACTCCTAAATCTGTGTGTTCAACAGGTCGGATCCTGAAGTCCTATTGAAGAAAAAATATTATATATACAAAAAATACAGCATTTTTCCATATTGACTGGTAAAGGACATTGTTAATTATTTATTTCACACATGTACTTCTGAGCTGCTTCAAAATATGTTTTTGGAAAATACCAAGAGTAATTAAGTTACTCGCAGGACTAGCTTCTTGCAAAAAAGTAACTGTTCAAAATGAAAGCATTTAGGCTTGAGTACTGTGTTCGTTAGAAATTGAGTCACCATGAGGTTTTTGCCCATTTCTATATTGAAAACAACCAAGCAAAATTAAAGGTTATGTTTTAAAAAACACTAAACCAGCCTGATAACCTGTGTGCCAAGTTTCTCAAAATAATAGCACATTTTTTAAAAAAAAAACCTAAATCTTATAATGGAAATAAGAAACATAGCATCTGCCACTATAATAGTGAGTGCTGCAATAGTCACCTCAATGCTTAGCCAATCCACTTGGACTAGGGATGTTAAATTTCAATTAATCATCTAATTGAGTAGTTAATGGACGTTCCAATGATTAGTCGATAAGGAGGGCACTTGCTATCATGCTGCCTCTACCTTTGAAATGTACAAGAGCCACTCGTGGTTTTTACATTTCAAAAGGAGAAAGGCAGCAGGAACCTGTACTAGTGGGGACCCCTCTGTGCCTCTTCCTTTAAATGTAGAAGAGCCACAGGCAACTCTTGTACATTTCAAAAGGAGAGGAATAGCAATTGGACTGGTGAAAGTGGAACTGTTTCAATCCCACTGTCCTCTGCCTCCCCTGCCCCCCTGCGGAGACAGTGATGCTTTTAAGCCAGCTCCCCCCAGCACCGGCTCATGCTCCCTCCATTTGCTGCCTGGGGAGGTGGGGGGTGGGGAGCGACTAGTCAAGTTCCTACTTGACTACCCAATAAGCAAATGCTTATGGTATAGTCAACTAGTCGCTTACATCCCTAACTTGGACAGACACTAGACTATGTACTGTGTTGTGCCTGTCTTGAAGCTTAGTATAGAAAATCTAAGCCCAGGATGAGATAGAAAGGTCAAAGCGGCTTTAAGCTGTCTTTGCAAATCTTGGATTTCACACAGCTTTGGAGACTGGGCTTGTCCCCAGTACAAGTTAGAGCATTCCAAAGTGCTGCTCTGAATTACACTATCTTTAACACTACAGTCTATATACTGCTGTGTAAGCCAAAATTTCGGGATCATGAACACACTACTTGATCTACTTCTGGTCTTATGTCCAGCCTATTCTTGTATTGTACCAGGGTAATTCTAGAATTAGAAGATGAAGCTATAGTTTGGCTTGGAATCTATTACTCCTCTTGTATTGCACTCAAAGACACAGGATGTTTAGATGGCTTTTCAAAATTTCAAGTCTTATCAATATAACTTAGAGTCTGCTTTCTATCTAAATTATGGCGCTGAGTTCTTTGGGGAAGAAAGAGAGTGTTTGACAAGACTAGTAATAGAGATGTAGCTGTGTTAGTCTAGACTAGCTGAAACAAAAAACAGGACTATGTAGCACTTCAAAGAATAACAAGATGGCTTATTAGGTGATGAGCTTTCGTGGGCCAGACTCACTTCCTCAGATCAAATTGTGGAAGAAAATAGGCATGACCATATATACAAAAGGGATACAATTAAAAAAAAAGTGAACACATATAAAAAGGACAAATCAAATTTCAGAACAGAGGAGGGATGGGGGGGAAGGTAAATGGCTGTGAGCTAATGATATTAGAAGTGATAGTTGGGGAAGCTATCTTTATAATGGGTAAGATAATTAGTATTTTTGTTAAGATCCCGGCGTAAAGTTATCACCTCTAATATCATTAGCTCACAGACATTTACCTTCCCCCCCATCCCTCCTCTGTTCTGAAATTTGATTTGTCCTTTTTATATGTGTTCACTTTTTTTTTTATTGTATCCCTTTGGTATATATGGTCATGCCTATTTTCTTCCACAATTTGATCTGAGGAAGTGGGCCTGGCCCACGAAAGCTTATCACCTAATAAACCATCTTTTTAGTCTTTAAGTGCTACATAGTCCTGTTTTTTGACAAGACTAGGAAGCTAATGGTCTTAATAAGGTCACTCTCAGTTATCACACTGGATTGAAATCTGGAATAAGTACCTGCAATGATCTTATCTTTGTGGTATTCAATGAAGAGAAGATATCTTGCAATAACAAATGCTTTTTTAACCATAAGTAATAAAATGTTTATTTTCCAAAAGGCTCTGAGTGTCTTTGTATCCTTTGAATGCCAGGCTAAGCTCCCAAGAAGTGATAATTTCAAAGATTCTTGGAAGCGCATTCATCAGGTACATCGCACAATCACCAGGTTTCTAAAGACAAACTTATAGATTAAAATGCCAGAAGGGAGTACCGTGATCAGCTAGTCAGATTTCCTGTGTCACAGGACTTCCCGGCATTAATTACTGAGCTGTTTTTTGGAAACTAATGTACCCAGATGGTAGCCAAATGTATGCTAATTTAAGAGATGGTGGGGCTTTTAAAGGTATAATAAAATTCCAAAATACTTGATCTGGAAGCAGAACAAGGAGCCATTACCAGCTGCCCAAAACGCTACTATTTCTGACAGCAGCACTTTAATTTCAACAGACTTCCATATTGCAAGAACATTTTCTAAACTTCCTGAGAGGGGAGATGACCACACTTATTTAAATCCCATGATTCAAGCTGCCAGGTGGATCATGGTGCAGAATGAGAGTAATCTCCTATAAGCTCCTGAGAAAGACTAACTAAATTTTTAAGATAATGAGTGAATGTGTGTGCACCCCTAACCAAATCTGGAAAGGATAAAACAGAGGTAACTTTTTCCTTTACCCTTGCTACCATCTCCTTCCTCTTGCCTCCCACGTGCGCCGCCCACGCCAGTGAGTGGTATAGGCAGGGCTCGACAAATCATGTCATCTACTCACCCGTGACAAGTAGATTACAAGCCGGCACAGCCAGCACTGCGCAATCTGCGCAAGCGCAGCTCGCAGAACCATGCAGCTGGTGAGCAGGGCTCGCTGCCGCTTGGTGAGCCCTGGGTATAGAAATGGGGGTGCAAGACCTGGGCAAGAGATGAGGTGCAGAAGGGGGTGAGGATGCAAGGTCTAGTTTGGATGTAGGGTGCAGGAGAGTGTGATGGTACAGAGTCTGGCAGGATGGAGGGTGCAGGAGCAAGGGAAGGTGCAGGAGCAGACTGGTGGTAGGGCATAATGGCCGGGGTGTATGCAAACACAGCAGCTGCGGTTAGCGTGTGTGGTGGCTAGAAAGAGGAGGGGCTGGCATGAACAGCAGCTGGGGGGAGGTTGATAAGCGTAGCAAGTAGGGGCACAGCCTCCTAGAAGTAGTAGTAGTAGTAGTAGTAAAAAAATACATAATAATAATAATAATAATAATGAGAAGGAGGAGTAGGAAGAAGAAAGGTAAAGATAAGAAAAGTGAGGAATTAGGAAAAGTGGAAGGGGAAATATATAGGAATAAAAAACAAACTTAGGAGAAAAAAATGAGAGGTTGAAGAAGAGGTAGTATTTGAAGAAAAGTATTTGAAGGCTTCAATATCTGAGATATAGGTGAGAGGATTATTCTAGGAGGGGTGGGTGAGATTTTGTGGCCTGCACTGTGCAGGGGGTCAGACTAGATGATCAAAATGGTCCCTTCTGACCTTAAAGTCTATGAGTCTATAAGAGGGAGGAATGCAACATTCTTCAGTTTCTTCCCCTGCATACCTACAATGGGTGTTTTGGTATATTCATTCAAACATATGTGCAGGCCATAATTGTATTGCATTTAACAGCTGCTAAAGCAGGGGTGGGCAAGATGTGACCAGGGAGCCGGATCTGGCCGACCAAGCTGCTGGATCCAGCCCACAGCCGCCTCGCTGGGACCCTTACTACAGAGTAGCTCTCACCACTTTAAACTGCTGGCTGAGGAGGGAGGGGGAAGCTTTGCACATTGCCCTCACACCCTAGCAAAATCCCTCAGCTCCCACTGGCCACTTTCTGGCCAACAGGAATTGAGAAATTTTGCTGGAGGCAGTGGCAGGCTACAAAGCCTCCTTCCTCCCTCCCCATCCCTATCCTGGAGTAGAACCACACGGAGCAGCCAGCCAAGCATCGTGGGACTGCAGCATATAGGCATGATGCCTGTCTCAGGTTCCTTCAGGGCTGCTGGCTAGGAGCCACCTAGTAAGTGCTTCCCAGCCATAGCCTGGCTCTGGCACTCCTCTTCCCCACCCAACTTCCTGCCCCAGGTCACTACCCAAACCCTCTGTACCCCCTCTGTCTACCTCCTCTAGGTCACAACTCCCTCCCAAATCCTGCACCCCTTCCCCCAGGCCATAATCCTCTCCTGCACCCATACCCTCCTCCTGGATCATGCACCCCAAGCCCTTGCCCCAGATCATTATCCCCTGCTTCATCCAAACTCAGTCTCAGACCCCACATCCCCTTCTGCATCCCAGTCCTCTATCCCAAGCTCCCTTCTGCACTCCACCCGCCATTCCAGACCTCAAACCCCCTTCATAGAAGTGTGGCCCTTGACTACTTACCAAAATGTTGGAGTGGCTCCCCAAAAAAACTTATTGCCCACCCCTATTCTAAAGTAATAGTGAGGATTAAGGAACATTCAACTATATCCATTGAAATCTAATCCATATCTGAATACTTAAAAAAAAATAACATGAGGAATGCAAGTATTTAATAAACTTTCTAGAGTGGTCATTTATGTTGCCTTTTGTGAGATTCTATTTGAAGTGATTATGGAACTCATGTTCTTTTGAATGTGTGAACAAGGCTGGCCCTAAACCAAGAGACATTTTTATTGCCCCCCTTCATTTGTCAAACTTTTGAACACCTAATTTTGTATTGTATTTGGAGCCCATTTCACAACTTTGAATTCATGATCTGCAATTATGATTAATACCTGTCATGTAAGACAATAAATGTACAAGCTAGGGTCTGTAAAACATTTTACTCCAAGCAATCTATTTTCCCTTTTTCTGCTAGCAACAAAAACAGCATCTCAAGCTTGCTGCAATCAAAGCCTGGCACCCCAGGCAGTTGCCTGCTCCTAAATCCGGCCTTGTTTGTAAACTTAGGAACAAAGCCTATTCTTAACATACTAACTGAGCAGCGTTAGGTAGGACAAGGCTTTACTTGAATGCCTTAGGACTCAGCATTACCACACAAAGAAATAATCACAACAAACTTCATTTGTTTCTCTAATAACAGTATCTTGTACAGTTTTGAGAACTATGATGGAAGACATATGAATTAGGACATCTAATGCTTCACCTTAGTACATATAGAAGGCGTTATAACTTTGTAATATGGAACCTTCCATTTTTCACAATACCTTTGGCCTGTTGCTTGTTGCTCTTTCAACTGAAGAACAGATTCCTCAAACTCCTTTTCCTTCTTCCTTATCTGACTTCTTAGAACCTCTCCAGTGTGCTCCAATTCTTCAATATGTCCTTTTTGTGACTCGATCACATTTTCCCTGTAAGTTAACAAAAGCAGCTTGTATTCAGAAGATTTTGAAAAGAACTATAAAAAATTTCATACTGGAAAAAAAAAAAGCAGAAAAAATATCTTGTGTGAAGTTATATTCCTGGATCAAGTCTTCTTTCTCATCTGAATAAAGATGCTAACTTGAACTTCTAGAATTGTATTTACCATGTGCACACTTTATTCATGTAGGGGGAAACAAATAGTCCAAACAAAAAACAGATGATCAAAGATTAGCTACATTTTCCATTACAATAGCTAAACCCTTCATAACATCTTTAAAGAGGTATTTATTAGATGGCTTAAATTAGTTTGTTTAGCATGAATAAGCTTACTACGTCATATCCTGTCTGATATATTTACATGGCATATAATTTTCTGTTGCCAAAAGGTTTGCGGGCAGGAAAACTTCACCTCCAGGCATGAGTAGAGTAACAGATCCTCAATGAACTGAAATCGGGAGCTCCATTTTTAAAACCTTTTATTTTGGGGTATGTGGTGTTGTACAGTGCAAACTATCTGCATTGCTAACTTTTACAAGTAGTGAAGTTTATCCTGATTAAGGGATATTTCAAATTAGTTCCACCCAGATCAGGGTTTGCCCTGAAATATGAGCAAATAAGCACATCATATTAATAAAAAAAATGGTACAGGTTGAACCTCTTGAAACAAGGACTCTCTGTTTGGGCAAAATCCATGATCCCGCACAGATGTTCCCTGACCTCTAGAGAGTCCTGGTAACCAGGAATCTGGAGGCAGGAGGGCTGGCAGCAGCAGGGCCGGTGTCAGCAGGCCTGTGTTTTCCGGCAGGGCTGGTGGCATGGGGGTTGGGAACCCTGCCCGGGGCTAGGAGCCTTGCTGAGCTGACGGTGACCTGCCCTAGTCTGGCTTACTCTCTCATTTGGGACCATGTGACTGGTGAACCAGTTAACTGGTAGGGGCTGGCGTAGTTCCCCGCTGCTGCCCGTGACAACTGGTGCTTGGGGGGAGGAAGTGAGGAATGGCCGCGACTGCCCCAGCAGCTTTGGGGTCAGTCATGTCAGCTGCTGCAAAAGTCTTGCAGGTCCCAAAAAGTCAAAGAATTTGTGATGGACTCACAGACTTACTTATGGTACCTCAAGTACTTATAGTATCTAAAGTCTGATTTGGACATATGTTACTTAAATAAGATTATCAGACACAAAAATGGGCTTAGGAAAAGTGAAACCTTAGAAAACCAGAACAGCTACCAATAAATTTTAGTACAGAAAAATAATAAAACAAAGTTCTGTGACTAAGTTAGAAATTAATGACTTTTCCTATGTTCACAGCTCCAGAGCAGGGGTGGGCAATAATTTTAAGTGGTCGGGGCCGCTCCATTATATTAATGGAGGTGATGTGGTGCTGGGCTGAAGGTTGAGTTCAGAAGGAAGCTTGGGGCAAGCAACTGGGTGCAGAAGGGAGTGTGGGATCTGGAAAGGAGTTTGCGTGAAGAAGGTAGGGATGTTAAGGACTAGTTGGATAGTCCATTTGCTTATCAGATAGTCTGTCGACTAGTCGACCTCCCTCCTCCTTGCTGCCTCTATGATATAGAGGCAGCAAAGAGGGAGGGGGAGGAGGGTAGAGAAGGGATACTTCAAAGAGGCAGCACCACACAGCTGAGCCAGGGATTAGCTGTGTGGTGCTGCCACTTTGAAACCCTAAACACAGCGTTTCAAAGGGGCAGCCACCGCACAGCTGGTTGGCGGCTCAACTGTGCGGTGCTACCCCTTGAAAAAGCCGAAGTGACATGGAGCCCGGAGTCAGCTAGGGACTCCCCAGCTGACCCTGGGTTCTGGGGAAATGCCATTTGGGTCATCTGGGAACTCCCCAGCTCATCCCGGGCTCCCTGCAGCACTTCAGCCCAGCCCCAGATCAGCTGAGGAGTCCCCAGCTGATCCTCGGTTCCGCTGAAATGCTGTGTTGAACTTGGGGTCAGAGTACCCCGCTAACCCCAGGCTCCATGGCTTTGAAATGCACAAGAGCCCCCACTGGGGAGTCTTGTACATTTCAAAGCATGCATCCACGTGCAGCCCGGGGTCAGCAGGACTTCCCATTTGCCCCGGGCTGTACAGTTCCTTAATCCTTCTCTGAAATGTACAAAAGTCCCACCAGGGGCTCTTGTATATTTCAAAGAAGGAATGTGGAAGTTCTTATCGACTAGTTGCGGGAAATGCCATCGACTACTTAACTATTCAATTAGCTGCATTTTAACATCCCTAGAAGGAGGGAGTTGTTACCTGGGGCAGGAGACTGGGGTGCAGGGTCTAGTGGGGTATGGGTGCAGGAGAGAATTCTGACCTGGACGAAGAGTGTATGAGGGGTGCAGGGGTTGTAACCAGGGGTAGGAATGCAGGAGAGTGCAGGGATTTGGGTTGGGACCAGAGGTAGGGGATTGGGATGCAAGATCTTGGAGGGGGGTTGTGACCTGGAGGAGGGATATAGCAAAGGGTGCAGGATCTGGGAAGGGGCACAGGTGCAGAAGGGGGTGCTGAGGGTTTGGGTTAAGTAGGATAGGGGTTTAGAAAGTGAGGCAGAGGATTGGGTGTGGGAGGGAGGGCTGGGGTGCCACAGGCAGGCTCTAGCCAGAAGGTGCTTAGCTTACCTGGCAGCTCCCATCCAGCAGCCCAGCAGGTTACTTAGTCAGGGTTCCTGCCTTACATGCCTTCAAACATGAGCAGAGCAGCTGCAGAGGCCATGTATATGGTGCTCTGAAGTGCATGCTCTGAGGGGGGAATGATGGGGTACTTTACATGCTGAAGCTCCTATTCGCTGGAAACTGGCCAATGGAAGCTGTGAGATTTTGCTGGGGGCGGGGCAGCGTGAGAAGCCTCTCCCTCCTTCCCCAGGCTTGCAACATTCACAGAGCCTCGCAACCAGCTTTTCTGAACACCAAGTGGGGATGTGGCAGGCAGGAAGCTGGCTGAGGCTCCTATGGGCTGGATGCAGTGGCTTGGTGGGCTAGATCTAGCCCACGGGCCATAGTTTGCACAGCCTGGTCCCAGAATATGGATGTGTCAGAGGCTCTCTGTGCTCCATATTTAACTTACAATGCATGCTAGATTGAATTTACAAGCAGCTTTTAACCTTGGAACTGCAGCTAGACATCTATGGCTGGCAAAATCATAAGTCTGGAAATATACACAGCAACAAAACAGAACCAGAGCCCAAGCCCAAGTCTGCTGGGCATGGACAATGGTAGGTTTTTGTTTGCTGTATAGCAGACCCTTAAAGCCAGCTTAGCCAGCCCCATCTCCTAGGCTGTACCTTCTAAACTGCACAGCACAGAATCTGGCCCAACTATGCATCTTCATATTTAATCAGTTAAGCAACATCTGTGATAGGTTACCTTTTTCAGGGGAAATCTCTAAAATAAAGCCCAGGTGCTTCAAAAAGTATGATTGCAATAATTCCATAGATAATAGCTTTCTTCCTTTTGTCAGAGGTGATCCAATAGCCTTGCGTAGGAATAGGGGGCACTGTGCTGCAAGAAGCGCTATTTTTGAATGAAATATAAAATCAATACTCTGGCCACTAACAAAAATATCCCAGGACAAATTTTGCATGTGTAGGTTGTTAAAACCTGACAACATTCCACGTAGAGTACAGTACATATATTTTACTGCATTATATTTCTCTGTCCAATGCAATTTGATAAGGATCCTTATACTTTCTATTTCTAAATCTCTTGTGCAATGTTGCTTGATGCCAGTACAATCAACGCCAGAGTGCAAGACCCCATTTTTTGTTGGAATGAAAGCGCTGTAAAACACCTTAATCATTGAAGAATGTGTTTTTTCTTAATAACATCACATATTAATAACTGTATATTATAGAAAATTAAGAATTATAAACAAGTATCCTACAAATTTCTTATCTCATCCCTTGCTTCTTCAAGCAAACTATGTCCATATCTTGGGAGCACTGGTTGGGGGGATCTCAAGGATCTCATTTCTATATCTTGAAATCTCATTCCTAAAAATAAAGAAAACAGAGAGTCATATTCTGACACAGCAGTTAATGAAAACAATATTTAACATAAGGGGAAATCCTTATAAATATAAATATGTATATAATTATTATGTAGATGTCATAACAGATATCTTCATATCTAATACACAATAGAATGCTATGTATAAATTCAGAAAATGCATCATGAACGTAGGGTACCAAAATTCCAGTATGGACAAAACAAAATAAAAGTGACAGACAGGTGATCAGTAGGCTTTAATATGGACCTACTAGAAGGCATTTAATTTGGGAAGCAAAGAACATAACTGCCAGCTTCATTGCAAGAAGACTTAACAATAATGATAATTTAAGAGATGTCTACTGCCTAGTAATTATTCTTGTTCTCTGACTGGACCATCTCCATGGAGCCATAGTGCAGGAATTATGTACCTATCTTAGCAGTCACAGGACCATGATTAGGATTTTATAGTTCAGGAAATTAATTGGAACCCCAAATCTTACATTGAGCTGACTGATGGTGTAAGTATTCCAATCAATTTTAAAGGTCTTTCAGTTCCTTATTATCATCAGAAACTCTATTTAGATTTGGGCACCAAAGCAGGGTGAGAGAGATGACCAGTGAAACGCCTTCTTCTCCTACACCTCCACCAAGCCACACAGAAAGAGGTTAGCTAGGTGTAACCTCCCTGAAGAGAGTTGCTAGACTAGTTGAATGGACAGTCCTCCCAAATTCAGTATCTGATGTTATTGCTGCATCAAAAGATTAGTGATTTGTTAAGGCATGAACTAACTATATACATCAGCTTTTCAGATAACAGCACACTGAAGACACACGACACTGAAGCTGCCATCCTTCTACAAGAGTGAGCTGTGAGATGCTCAAGTCACAGGAACACCAGCGAGATCATATAATGAACTAAATGAGCATCCTTACCTACTTTGGCAGCCTTTGAACTGAGATGATTGACCTTTCATGTATTTCCAAAGGTTACAAATCTGTTTGACTTTAAGTAGCTCAGTTATTCCAAAAGTAGCTAATCATTCTTAATATTCAGTTAATTCATGGTTAGATTTGTATTGTTGTAATAGCACACAAGTTAATGTGTAAGCTTGAAACTTTGTGTCTCTCACCAACAGAAACTATTCTAATAAAATATATTACCTCACACACAAACTCCCTATGTAATAAATATCAAGAAAGCCACTGAAGTTGAAAGTCTACTCATACAGAGTAGGGATGTTAGAAATCGGTCATTTTAATAACATCTCAGCAGTTACACTGTTATGCAGTGAGCTCCTGGCCCCACTTCTGGGAAGCCCTCTGCTATACGATGCTGCTGCCTCTGTATAAGAGGCAGCAGCATGGGGAGCAGCAGCTCCTATCCCTGGGGGGGCCCGAGCTTCCCGCAGACAGAGCGCTGCTGCCGCCCTCTGCTGTGAGCCCTGCAGACAGGGGCTATGGCTGCCCTAGCTGCTGCCTCTATCAGCACAGGCTGGCAGGGGGCTCACCTGCTGGTCTGAGTTTTAAAAGCAGAGCACGTGGGGCGGGAGGGGGGTTGTTGTGGTTAAATCAGGACCATTAAATGATAAGCAGTTGCTTATAGGTTAACTGGTTACGCAGGTAACCACTAACATCTCTAATACAAAACCACACCTTTCTAACTCAAGTAATCATAAGAACAGCCATACTGGGCCTGAGCAAAGCTCCATTTGGCTCAGTATCCTGTCTTCCAACAGCGACCAGTGCCAGGTGCTTTACAGGGAACAAGCAGAACGGATAATCATCAAATGATCCCGACATCTATTCCCAGCTTCAGGCAAACAGATGCTGGGAAAACATCATCCTTGCTTATCTTGGCCAATAGCCACTGAGAGCTGTATCTTCCATGAAGGTATGTAATTCTTCTAGATCGTGGTCTCCAACCTTTTGTACACACAAGATCACTTTTTGAATTTACCCCACCTTTTCCCCAAAGCCTGCCCTATTTACTCCCTCCTTCCCCTCCACTGCTGACCATTTGCTCTTCCTCATCCTTATTCACTTTCACCAAGTTGGAGCAGAGGGTTGGGGTGCAAGGGGGGTGCAGTTTCTGGGCTGGCGCTGAGGGGTTTGGCATGTGGGAGGGGGCTCCGGGCTGAGCCTGGGGCAGGGTGTTGGGGTGCAGGAGTGAGGAGTACAAGTTCTGGGTGGGAGTATGGGTGCAGGAGGGGCCCCAGACTGATGCAGGGGGTTGGGTGAAGAAGGGGGTTCTCATTAGGGGGTGGTGGTATGGGGTGCAGGCTCTGGCCTGGAGGTACTTTCTACATGCAGCTCCTGGCCAGTGGTGCAGCAAGCCTTAGGCAGGCTGACTGCATGTCCTAACCCCATGCCACTCCTGGAAGTGGTTGGCTGCTGGCACATCTCTTCACACCACAGAGACAGAATGTCTCCATGCGCTACCCATGCCCACAAGTGCCACTCCCACAACTCCAGTGGCCAGTTCTCAGCCAATGAGAGTTACATGCACGGGCAGAGGCAACATGCAGAGATGCTTCCTGCACCCCAGGGTTTGCAGAGATGTGCCAACACCCATCCACTTCCAGGAGTGGCATGGGGACAGGACATGCAGCCATCCTGCCTGAACATTGCTGCACTGCTGGACTTTTAGCAGTGTGGAGTTGTGATCAACTGGCAGTGAGTTGTGATCGACCCAGCTGAGTGCAATTAACTGGTTTGTGACCACTTTAACTTGCTAGAACCATGGACCATCAGGCTGAATCTCAAAATGTTTCTTCTAGATCAAAGGAAAACAATGAAGCTTTTCAGAGACAATATGGTTCTTAAACAGACAGGGAGATCTTGATTGTCTCTTTTGTGTCCGGATATTGTTTGTGGGCTTGCCATGTGCAGGCTCATTTGAGAGAAAACGACTCATTCCTATAGATATCTTGCATCCTTGACACAAGAGAGGCAATTAAGTTCTCCCTTATCTCTTTAAGCAACCATACTGTCACATGAATTACTTCAAACTGGATTCTTCAGAGACTGACAAAGGAAGAACTTTTGGATAAATAGTCTGAGTTTAAACTAATTCAGAGACAGGTTTCTGATTCAACAGATGAAAAAAACATTATTTTCTGGAAGACAGAGGGGGTAAACAATCCTTAAAGAAGGATTAGAAAGACTGACACCTGCCAGAGCCTAAAGTTTAGTTGGGATGACCTCTGGTAAGCTTTACAGCATAAGTGGAGAGGCGTTTGGTTTTAATATATTTACTCTTTGAATGCTTTCACCTTAAAAATGAACATACTGCAGAGTCCTTTCTAAGCATGCAACTTGTAATATAGGTAATAACATTGTAGTTGCTAAGGAGAAAACAAAGCAAGCCTGCTTAGGCAGTTCAATTTGTTGGGAAGCCACAGAGTAAGCAGGGAACTGTGCTGCCTGGAAAATGCCCCATCAGGAGGGAGAGAGATAAGAATCGCTCTGCCCATGAAAGGCGGAGCTGGGGAGCCTAAGGTGGATGCTCTTGCTGGACCAGCGAGAGAGATCACAAGTGAAGTACCCTGAACTACGTCACCTCTCACAATATGTGAGCTAGCTGGTCATTTTTATGCACCAAGCTGTTGTCTACGGTTACTTAGAGCATGCCAATTTTAGCTGACGTGGTTGTATTTTCTCCTCATAAGACTAAAATGTACAAGTACAAAGCAAGCAAAAGCCAGAGCTCCTTTTATATTTAGGGTATCCCAAAATGCTTTACACACAAAGAAAAAGGGGTTACTGTAAACAGAAATGCATAGCAGTACAATAAGGTATGCAAATACAGCAAGCAATGCTCATCTGTTCTCACCTCAGAGAACAAAATCTATTTTATTGAGAAATAAAATATTAGCCAAGACACTAGGACAATCACTTTTTTTTTTTTTTAAAGACAAGAAGGCAATACAACCGCAACACAAAGACAGAAATAAACAGAAAAAAACCTCTGCTTAACAATGTATCTGAAATAATTTTGCAACAGTAGGTCTAGGACACAGAAGTTTGCTTTTGCAAGCTAAAGAGCACTTATAGTGTGTCAGAGTATTCTAAGTTTTTTGTCCTTGCTTCATCTTTAACTACAGCATTGTAGAGGCAGTCTAGATGAAAGTGCTTAATGTGTAATTCATGACATCACAAAGGCTGAAAGAACACCATTACTGGGTAATAAAAATTTCACACTATATAAACATTAGAAGAGTACAATACTGAGGTCTATTACTTTTCACTGCCTGTTTAAAAGCATCAGAATTAAGGTCAGAGTGTCATAGTAACTAAATCTCAATGAACTTTTCCAGCTGTACGAATGTTTGCAAGATTATTCAACTGAAATTTTTTTAAAAAGGACAAAAATACAATGTTCCTGACCACAAGTCTGACACAAAACTTGCAGAAGTTAATGGGGTCTCACCAGCTGAGTCAATAGGTTTTGGATGAGGCTCAGTATACCTATTTTTACAAGTTATTTTGACAGATACATTAAACTATCCAAACACAAATCCCTTAAACTTTTTCCTTATAAAAATTATTGAATTTGCTAATATAATTTAATCCCTCCAAATACAAAAGACTGAAAACAAGTGCTTATTTCTACTCCTCTTGTAGTAAATGACAAGTTTTGAATATAAAAACCTGTAAAAATTATGATTCTGCCTCACCATTTAAAACTTCCAGAATCTACACATGTATCATTTATTTTTAAGATTTTCAATGTTGTGCATGCATATACCCACGTCTAAAGGTTAGGGATGTTAAAATGTGCTTAATCTGGTAACTATGTAACTGCTGAAAATCTCAGTGATTACATGCACCTGCTCACGGGATGGGACCTGGCTCCTGGTGAACACCAGCTGTTGCCCTACGCTGCTGCCTCTGTGTCAGAGGCAGCCAGCTCCCCAGAAGCCAGAGTGCACTGGCTCCCATCTGTAGCCCTGCTACCGGGGAAGTTGGCTGCCACCACGCACCAGCTACTGCCTCAGCCTTCTGCCTCTATATCAGAACCAGCAGCACAGGGCAGCAGCCAGCTCCCCAGAAGCCAGCACACACCGGCTCCTGACTGCAGCTAAGCTTGAACTCTCACTCCAGCCTACATTCCTGAAAAATACAATAATTGAAAATGCATGTATATTTTTCATTTCTTTTTCCAAAAAAAGAAATTCCTTCAGTTACAGACCTGAGCAAAGCTGGGTACATCTGCTAGTAACATATACAGAGATTTGAATTGACATTAAAAAATTAACATATTAGCATATGCTATGTTTGCTAATGATTTTATCCAAAACGAATTTCCTATTGCCAATATCATCATGGGTTCTCAAGTGATGACATACAAAAAAGGACAAGACATAAGGACTGCCACAAAGAATAAAATAAAAGTAGGCAAACGCCTCATTTTTTTCTAATACTTCCTGAAGAGACCGCTGCCCACGAAGAAGCTAAAGAACAGAAATTAGAATGTGAGTATATATGTAACTATTTCTTCGGTGAAGAACAAATCAGGATATTGTTTATCTCTATTTTAATTATACCTTTCCTTGTGCGCTCTTGGATAGTGACAGACTCATTCACTTTTCTGAGACCAGTGTTAATGCGAGACTGAACATAGCTGTACGGAGTGTGCCGATGGCCTTGAACTTGGAGCTGCTGTTTGGTTGCAATCAGTCTCTTGCGGATGCCTTCATTTTGTTTCTCAAGCTCACGAACTTTCTCTTGTAGCTGCTCAATCATTTCTTCAAGTTCCACATCCTGGCCCAACCGCTTGGGGCCACCACCAATCTGCTCAGATCTTTTCTTGTCATTAACAAGCCGAATTAACTTGGTGGCCATTCTGGGGAAATAAAAAGATGAAAAAGAATGTGAAAAGTCAGCATAAAAACCATTGTGTTGAAAAGAACATAATCACTGTGAAGACTTCAGCATAGAACCTGAATAATAAATTGCAGGTTTTGATATAACTATTACTGCCTGTAAAGAACGCTTTGAAGATAATTGAAACCATTGGGCAGCAATCTGCTTCATAGCACTGACAAATAACAGTTTCCTAAGGCTTATCATTTAAGGACACATATTTACTCCATATGGTTCTTAAATATAATTTTTAAGGCATGATCCTATAGAGGAACTCTGCATTCTGTTAAGTACAGTTACAGATTGGGGATGTGGTGGGACAATGTATAAAAACTACAATTCCACAAGATATTAAACTGTTGAACACATGCTCATAACATGCAGCATTTCAGTGATGTATTGTTTACACTTTCACTGTAGGATTTTAAACCATGTTTCCGTTCTAAAAATGCTAAAAAGTATAGGTAAGGGTGCTCAAAAAGCTCCTGATGAGAAAATCTTAAGTTTATGTTGCCATGCTAAATTTTATATTTAATACATAGTACCAATGTGCTAAGAGAAGTAGTGATTAGCTGTGGAGCATAATTAGATACAGGAAGTGTGGTTTTCATCTGTCTTTAAAAGGATACGAATTTTGCTTTTGGCATCTTAAGAGTTGTACCTTTGATTTCTTTTAGTTTTGATAAACATTGCAAAGCCAGAACAAAAGGCAGAGAAGGCACATGGGGGTGATGTAATATATAAGAACATAAAACATGCCCAGCAGTGAATAGAAAAAAAACTTGGCATAGAAAGAAAGAAAAGGTGGCTTTGATGAAGGAGACAAGTTCAAGACTTTACAAAATTGGTCGCACATCTTAAAGAGCTGTATCTAGTTTACAGGGAATCTACTTTTGTAGAGGCCTAGACAGGAGATTGAAAATAAAGACACACTTAATTTGTTTGCTTTACTTTAGCCTGGTTACAGACAGAAGCTTTTATTTAAGAACAAAAGTGAAACAACAAAAATAATTCAAAATACCTTTGGGATGTCACAGTATATATACACATACACATACACATACACATACACACACACACTTCTGCTGCATATTCAATTTGCACTTCTATCTAGAAAAACTCCAGCATGTGATATTGGTAGGAAATTAATGGCTGAATTAGTTAAGACTTTTTCCTCGGACAACTAGGGATATTAGACAGCGATTAATTGAATAGTTGTGTAAATGCATCACATATTATCGGTTACAAGACTATTTGATAGTCCCCAGGGGCAGGGCCAGGAAACCATTGCGTTCTCGGCACCACTACTGCGAGAAGTCTAAATAATAAGATGGGTGAACTAGAGTGCCTCGTTTGAAAGGAGGATATTGATATAACAGGCATTATGGAAACTTGGTGGAATGAGGACAATCAATGGGACACAGTCACAACAGGATATAAAATATATCGCAAGGACAGAACAGGTTGTGCTGGTGGGGGAGTAGTACTATATTTGAAAGAAAATGTATAATCAAATCAAGTAAAAATCTTAAATGAGCCAAAATGTTCTATAGAATCTCTATGGATATTAATTCCATGCTCCAATAATAAGCATATAGGAGTAGGGATATATTATCGACCACCTGATCAGGACAGTGATGAAATGCTATCAGAATAAAAAAAACTCAATAATAGTGGGGGATTTCAAGTATCCCCATATTAACTGGGTACACATCACCTCAGGACGGGATGCAGAGATAAAAATTCTTGACACCTTAAATGACTGCTTCTTAGAGCAGCTGGTTCTGGAACCCACAGGGGGGAGGATATTCTTGATTTAGAACTAAATGGAGCACAGGATCCGGCCCAAGAGGCAAATATAACTGGACCACTTGGAAATAATGACCATAATGTAAAAAAATTTAACATCCCTGTGGTGGGAAAAACAACTTAGCAGTGCAACAATGTACCATTTAATTTCAGAAAGGGAAATGACACAAAAATAAGGAAGTTAGTTAAGCTAAGGTGACCAGAATTTGAAAAAGTGCGAGGAGGACACTGAGTTGACAAAATATATACTTGTATATGTGTATAAATAATCATTTAAATAAATGATCACAATATTAGTCTTCTTATAAGACAAACAGACTTGACTTAAAAACATTCATATAACATTTAAATCACTATTTGTCGCTCTTTTAAGAAATTGAAAATCTCGATCCATTTTTTTTGCATCAATTTTGTGTTCAGTCCATTCATTGTCTTTTATTATACTGTTAATTCTTCGTACTTCGAACAATAAATTGTCATTTATTGTGATGCTAACTTTTTCTTTAACAAATAAAACTGTTTCAAGGATTTTATTCCTTTGAATTTCTTCATTCAGCAGAATCAAACCAAACACGTACACTGATTCGTCATGCTTAGTCCAATTTTCTAGATATTCAAGACCATTTTACACCACCAAAATTAGTATTTGTGTTATCGGCACACATCGCAATAACTTTATCATTCAAATTATGATTATCCACTATTTTTTATATGATTAGATATTATTTCAGATGTCTCACCATCAATTGCTTCCAAATTCAAAAATTTGATTTGAATACCATTTTCAAAACTGAAGTAATGAACTAACACCAGATACAACTTTGTATCTTTGTGTTTTGAAGCATCCGAAAGAAATGTAACAAATTTAGCTTCATTTAAACCTTTCTTCAAATTCGCTAGTGTGTAAGTTTGAAAAACATTGTGAATAATAGCCTCTTCTTTAGTTCTGACACAATGGAATTTTTTATTATAAAGTACTCTTCAGTTTTGACGTACAGTCCATGCTCCAAAAACTTTGATTGTGCATCATAGAGTGGTACGCAGTCAGACCTTCGGCAGCTGCTAAATTCTTTTTGTCTTCTTCAAATGATGTACTTCCTAAGAAGTCTGTAACTTTCTGGGACATTGATGCCAATGTTAAAGAATTTTGATGTTTGTTTGATGAAACATGCTTCGTTATGCTGGATCGGCCACCTACTGCCACACTGAATTCCACCGAACAGACAGTACACTTCACTAATGAATCATCTCTTGTTTCATCCACAATTCTGATGAACGGAAATTCCTTTTTTAAATTCTCGTTGAAATGGCATTTTCTTTTCTTCGACATTTTTAGGGTTAATTGTATCAACTAAAAAAATCACATTCACATTACATTAAAATGGCTCAAAATAAACAATAACATTTCATAAATACCCTATAACTGTATTTTACTGTATATTAAGCCTTTTAACAGGGGTTCAATCAGTTTTGTAACTTACCGGCTTTTCTGACAAGTGCCCACGTCCAGCACTTCGACAGATGTGCGGATCAGCCAACTTTGCAGTGATGCTACTAGATTGCAGTATAATGATACTTTAAAAAACAGCGGGATATAATTTTTTGGCAAAGTAGAACAGGAAGGACAATTTTTTTCAAAGGAGGACAAAAGGAGGACATAATTATTGGGGAGGACAAGCCCCTCAAAAGGAGGACTGTCCTCCTCAAAGGAGGACGTCTGGTCACCTTAGTTAAGCAGAAATTAAAAGGTACAGCGACAAAAATACAGCTGAATGGAAACTTTAGAAAGACACCGTAATAGTGGCCAAACTTAAATGTATATTCCAAATTAAAAAACACAGTAAGAGAACCAAAAAAGGGCCACTGTGGCTTAACAACCAAGTAAAAGAAGCAGTGAAAGATAAAAAGATGTCTTTAAAAAATGCGGAAGTCAAATCCTAGTGAGGAAAATAGAAAGGAGAATAAACTTTGTCAAATTAAGTGTAAAAATATAAGAAAAAACAAAAAAAGAGTTTGAAGAACAGCTAGCCAAAAACTCAAAAAGTAATAGCAAAATGTTTTTAAGTACATCAGAAGCGGGAAGTCTGCTAAACAAACAATGGAGCCTTGGACAACTGAGATGTTAAAGGAGTACTCAAAGATGATAAAATAATTGCAGAGAAGCTAAATGAATTCTTTGCTTCAGTCTTCACAGCTGAGGATACTGGGGAGATTCCCAAACGTGAGCCATTCTTTTTAGGTGACAAACCTAAGGAATTGTCCCAGATAGAAGTATCATGAGAGGAGGTTTTGGAATAAATTGATAAACTTAATAGTAACAAGTCACCAGGACCAGATGGCATTCAACCAAGGTTCTGAAAGAACTCAAATGTGAAATTACACAAGTATTAACTGTGGTTTGTAACCTACCCTTCATATTGCCTTCGTACTTAATGAATGGAAAATAGCTATCATGACGCCAATATTTAAAAAGGGCTGTAGAGGCGATCCTGGCAATTACAGACCGGTAAGTCTAACGTCAGTACTGGGAAAATTAGTTAAAACTATAGTAAAGAATAAAATTGTCAGACTCATAGATGAACATAATTTGTTGGGGGAAAGTCAACATGGTTTCTGCAAAAGGAAATCATACCTTACTAATCTATTAGTGTTCTTTGAGGGGGTCAACAAGCATTGGACAAGGGGGATCCAGTAGATATAGTGTACTTTGATTTCCAGAAAGCCTTTGACAAGGTCCCTCACCAAAGGCTCTTAAGAAAATTAAGTTATCATCGGATAAGAGGGAAGGTCCTTTCATGGACTGATAACTGGTTTAAAGACAGGAAAAAAGGTTAGGAAAAAATGGCAAGTTTTCAGAATGGAGAGAGGTAACTAGTGAGGTCTCCCAAGGGTTTGTCTGGAGATCAATCCTATTCAATTTATTTCTAAATGATCTAGAGAAAGGGGTAAACAGTGAGGTGGCAAAAGTTGCAGATGATACTAAACTGCTTAAGATAGTTAAGACCAAAGCAGACTGTGAAGAGCTTCAAAAGCTTCTCACCAAACTAAGTGATTGGACAATAAAATGGCAAATGAAATTTTATGTTGATAAATGTGGAAAAAAATAATCCCAACTATTCATATAATATAATGGGGACTAATTTAGCTACAACTACTCAAGAGAAAGATCTTGGGGTCATTGTGGATAGTTCTCTGAAAACATCCTGTGCAGTGGCAGTCAAAAAAAAAATCAAATAAAATGTTAGAAGTCATTAAAAAAGGGATAGAGAATAAGACAGAGAATATTTCATTGCCTCCATACAAAACCATGGTATTCCCACATCTTGAATACTATGTACAGATGTGGTGACCTGATATCATGGTTTGCAATTTGCATATCTTTTTCCGAACCCCCTCCAGCAGTCTACATGTAGTCTGAGGGTTCAGGTACTTGTACTCTGGAGATTGGGGCCCTTAACACAGGGGACTTCTCCACTAACTGGTCGGGTCAACTCTCTTGCACCTCTCTACCTCTCCACTAGTACAATGACCTTGTCATAGGTGGCTGGTTTGTTCTGGTGGACCCAAACACAAAAATCCGGAGGTAGCCTCCTCATGTATCGGTCAATCACCAGTATCTGTAGAATCTCTTCAGGGCTCTGGGACTCAGGTTGTAACCACCTTCGCGCAAGATGGATGATGTCATATAACTGGGAACATGGAGATTTGTTCTCCTGATATCTCCAGTTGTGATATCATTGGACCCGTACTGCAACCGTCACACCCACTTGGGTTAAGATTTCTGCCTTCAACCAAGGGTAGTTTGCTGCTGTTTCAAGTGGGCAGGTCATGGTACTCCTTCTGCACTTCTACACACAGGAAAGGAATGAGTATCTTGGCTCACTGGTCTCTAGGCCAGGCTTCACGTACTGAAATTTCAAAGATGAGCAGGTAGGCTTCCATATCTTCTGTACTCATCTTGGGTAAAAAACTTGTGACCCTCAAGCTTTTTGCTGCCCTGGCTAGGAATGTAAGGCTACTTCTAGACTGGCCCCTTCTCCGGAAGAGGCATGCAAAGCAGGCAAGTCAGAATAGGGAAATCCGTGGGGGATTTAAATATCCCCCGCGGGATTTAAATAAACATGGCCGCCGCTTTTTTTCCGGCTTGGGGAAAAGCTGGAAAAGAGCGTCCAGACTGGCGCGATCCTCCAGAATAAAGCCCTTTTACTTCTCTTCTTCAATCTATAGCTTTCCTCTTTTCCTCCTACATTTTCTTCTCTCCCCTGGCATTTTTGCATGTAAGTAACCTATTGCTCAATACTTATCTGGCATTCTGCAAGACCCCAATCAGTGCGACACATGGCACCAAATTTTTACTCTTTTCTATTCATGCCCCCTGCAGCCATACCAAACTTAGCTCCCTGGCCTAACTATAAATAAGTTTCTGAAAGGCAGCATGCTCTGTTTCCTCCTCACTCTCTTGAAAATTTTTATCCTTTTTCTTTTCCTCCTTCCCACTCCTCCTTTTCAGTTGGCTTCCTATATCTCTATTCCCTCAGAATATAAAGCTCTAAAGTGTACAATGCTTACATAAGTAGGTAAACAGTTCATGGCTGGGAACCAAACAGGTTGTCATGGTCTGTCTCTGAACAGAAATCAGCTGAGTGGAATGAAATCAGAGTTGGGAGTGTAAGTAATACAACCTTGTGCTGCGAAAATTCTGAGGACTGTATTCCGAGTATTAAGGCCTGTAGCCAGACAGGAACCCCCCTGTAACATCCATTTTTGCTTGCCTGGAGCATATAGGGCACACAGAGCAGAAGGCCCAGGCTGCTGTGACCATGAATGGCTGTAAACAGAGATACACCAATTGCTGACCAAGAGGCTGCCAAGGAGTGCCCTTGACTTAACCCATATTGATACGAACACACAGCCGTCCGCGGGGGGAGGAATCTCTCGCCCAGTAAAAAAATGTCTAGTACTCACAATTTAGTTATCTCTCTTGCAAGTGTAAATTAACTTGAAACTTGCTTGTAAGAACTGGCGCCACAAAACGGACCAGTACATTTTGGCCTCTTAGATAAGAAAGAGGATACGAGCCCCCAGGGGTATAAAGATGGGTCCAGCAGCACATTTACTCTGAGTGTCAATCTACCATCTATCTGCTGGTCGGGTTAGGTGTTTGATCTCCCAAGGTTCTAGAGGGGACGCCCACCTCGTATTCGTCTTTCCTAGGAATTGAGAGACCGGCCCTGGCCTGACACGCTGGAAACGAGAGTCACAGAAAGGGGTAAAAATTGTACCTAGATGTGGTCCTTTGTCTTAAGTGTACACATAGACTTAGAGCTCTTTAAAGATTAAGCTGTCACTTGGTACCATTATTTCTATTTTTAAAAATTGTACCTGGATGTGGTCCTTTGTCTTAAGTGTACACATAGACTTAGAGCTCTTTAAAGATTAAGCTGTCACTTGGTACCATTATTTCTATTTTCTATCTTTATTTTCTTTGTAACTATTTTTAAAATCTGTATTTGCTAACAGTTAAGAAATAGAGCAATAGCCATTGTAACCATATGCTTTTATAAGTTTTTTTAATAAACCTGTAACTGTTTAAGTTTTAACTTGACTCCTTCAGTTGCTGTAATAGAACCAAGCACAACGTAAAAGAACTTCAGCCGGTCATAAGGGACAGGTATAGGACACACCCTGCCATGACCGTCGGCTGACAAGGCCCTTGTGGAAAAACTAAGTAAATTCTTTGCTTCGGTCTTCACGACTGAGGATGTTAGGGAGATTCCCGAAAATGAGCCATTCTTTTTAGGCAACAAATCTGAGGAATCGTCCCAGATCGAGGTGTCATTGGAGGAGGCTTTGGAACAAATTGACAAACTTAACAGTAACAAGTCACTGGGACCAGATGGTACTCACCAAAGAGTTCTGAAAGAACTCAAATGTGAAATTGCGGAACTATTAGGTACATAAGATGATCCCTGTAATCATCTTCTGTATCTAATGACTGGAAGATATCTAAAGTGATGCCAATATTTAGAAACAGCTCTAGAGGTGATCCTAGCAATTACAGACCAGTAAACCTAATGTGAGTTCTGGACAAATCAGTTGAAACTATAGTAAAGAACAGAATTGTCAGACACATAGACAAACATAATTTATTGGGGAAAAATCAATATGGTTTCTGTCCCTTTAGTGCCCAGAGCATCTGGAGCTGAAGGACTTCTCTTCTTGGAGTTGCCTCCTCCTGTGTTTTGCCTGAGGCAAATAATGACAAAACCACCCAGAGGAAACCTGCTACTATTGATTCTTTTGGTATGTTTCCCCCCAAAAGGGATCATTTAAAAAAGGATAGAGAATAAAGACAAAGACCATCTTATTGCCTCAGTATAAATCCATGGTATGCCCACATCTTGAATATTGCGTACAGATGTGGTCGCCTTATCTCATAAAAGATATATTGTCATTGGAAAAGATTCAGAAAAGGGCAACAAAAATGATTAGAGGTTTGGAATGGGTGCCACATGAAGAGAGATTAAAAAGACTAGGACTTTTCATCTTAGAAAAGAGGAGACTAAAAGGGGGCGGGGGTAGACAGGTCTATAAAATCATGACAGGTATGGAGAAAGTGAATAAGGAAAAGTTATTTAATTGTTCCCATAACACAAGAACTAGGGATTATCAAATGAAATTAATAGGTAGCAGGTTTAAAACAAGCAAAAGGAAGTTTTTCTTCATACAGCACACAATCTGTGGAACTCCTTGCCAGAGATTGTTGTGAAGACTAGGACTTCAACAAGGTTCAAAAAAGAACAAGACAAATTCATGGACCTTAGGCCCATCAATACTTATTTGCCTGGAGAGGTAGGAATGGTTTCCCTACCCTCTGTCAGAAGCTACAAATGGATGACAGGTGGTGATTCCCTCTTCTGTTCACTCCCTCTGGGGCCATCTGGCATTGGCCACTGTCAGAAGACAGAACACTGGTAGAGGTGAACCTTTCTTATGGCCATTCTTATGTTCTTAAGGTTGTCATAGACCACTCTGAAAAGTTTTCTTACTCCAGCTTGCGTGATTTTGATTTGTTGTTGATTGAGGTTTAAAAGGACATATTCCCCAAATCTGTTTTTGGCTTAAAAAAATAAGAAAAATCAAACCTTTTAATTTTATCTTCTTGCTTATGTGCATGTTGCTTAAGTAAGATATTTTCATCATGCAAACGCAGGAAACGGTCTTCTAGCTCCTCACGACTAATCCGTGAGACAGCTTGCCGAGCTTTCACATTCTGTGCAGCTGATGATTCTAATAAGCAGAAACAAAATCACAGCAAATTACTTTCATGATTCCCAAAGGGATATCGTCATCATTTGGAAACCTAGCCAGTTTTAAAAATCAAGTTTAATATAATTTCTGGTTCAACCTGACCAAAATATGCCTGCCAATTGATGATTATACACTCATATTTTCTATTCTTTTTAGTGCTTTCTTATTCTTTTCATGGAATACCCATACAAATAATAAGACAAACTGGTAGTTAATGGATGATTGAGGGGGAAAAAGCTTAACTGATTCAAAGCACTTTGTGTGTTAACACAATCATAGCAGTATGCTATCAATTTTTATAGACTGGAGAGAGTTCCTTTTTAAACACAAAGTAAATTTACTCACACAAAATTATAGAAAAATTAACTGATAAATTCCAGGAAATTAAGTCAAATGTGTGAACTGAACCTCAATACAGTAGACAATAATAGTGCATACTCCTCAGTGGTGCTGAATGGCTTCTGCTCCCATAGTCAATGGGCCAACTTCTGCTCCCACTAATGTCTATAGCTACAGTAATTCCTCATTTAACACGACAGATGTATTTCTGAAAATGTTCATGCTAAGCAAAAACGTGCTACGCGGGGTCAATTTTCCTAATTAAAAAAATGGAAAAGGTGAGTGTTGCATTTCAGGCGTTGGTGGCGAACTCAATTTTTTGTTGGTGCTGGGTCATCAACATTAGATATCTAGCAACACAAGATATCTAGCAACATAAATCATTGCCTTTTGTTAAAATACAAAGATAAACGTGAGTGAGTGGAGAAGTGCTGTGACCATGTGTGTTCATCCACTCATGCGTATTACCACTGTTTTCACCAACTTGTCCCACATGCGAAGTAGTCCGCCACTTGATTATTTTTGTGTTATTTCAAGGATGGTCGTGTTATTCAAAAAATGTTCCCTAAAAAAAAAATATGCTATTGCGAAAACGTGTTAAGCGAGTAATTACCGCATAGTGAATAGGAGTCGATGGACTTGCAGATGTTCAGCACCTAATCAGTCTAAGCTCTATTTAAGTAGTACTATGGATTCTAACTTCACATCTCTTTATGAATTTAACACCGACTCCAAATATTATCTGAACTTAATTTTCCTAAGTGTGAATATCAGAATCATTTTTGGAAGGTAGCCAACAAAGTAACTGATCAAAGTATGTTATTGTAATAAATAACAGCTGGTACAAACCTTGCAATCCTCCAGTTCCCGCTAGACCTACATCCCTCACAGGAAGGTCTCCTGCAGTTTCATCAGCTGAAGCAGACATGGTTTATCTGCAGATTACAAAATTCACATGAAATCCCTTTTTATCCATAACTTAAACTGCAACACTAAAATGAACATCACATAAAATGAGTAAGAAAAAGAATGAGAGATTCACTATTAGGATGGACTGATTTATATTAAGGTGATGTAAATACAGTAATTAAAAAGTCACTGATTTACAAGTTTCCCACATATTTTTTCACATTTTTTTTTCACATAGTTTTTAACATATTTCTTCAAACAGTGGTACATATCAGATCACTAAAACATGTTAATTTACAGTTAAGTATAGCATTTTACATCATCTATGACAGTATACTTTGTGTAATTTTTTTTAGATAACTTGATTTTATTAATTTAAAAAATAGTACATAATACTCATCACCTGTGTCAAGCTGCAGATGCAGGAGCAGTTCATTAGGAATGATAGAAACTAAATTAAGCAAACACACTTATATTTTCTCTCACTCTATATTTAATTTTCTTTTCCTGATGGATGACAGAATGACATCATCTTGTCAGCATCAACAGGCTGGGGGAGTGTGACGGACTGGGCCAAGTTTGGGCACCGCTGAGGGCATCCGCTCAGGGGTAATTGCTCACAACCAGTCATACTGAACACTTCAGCTGCCAATCTGGCCAGCAGGAAGCCTCATGAGCAAAACCCCTCAGAAGCCCCCAACTCTCCCTGTGCCACAATCAGCCGCAGGCTTTACACACAGGTAAGGGGTTAGAACCCAATCTCACCTACCGTGAATGCGTTCTTCCGGTCCCAAGAAACCAGCCATGGGTTCCCAGTCAATTTACACTTACCTACAAGAGTACACTGGGCCAATCCATTAGAATAGTGTTTCCCAAACTATGAGCCGTGGCCTGCTTTTGGGCCGCAGGAAAAAGATACCGGGCCTCAGCATGGCTGCCAGGTCCCACAAACCCTCGGCCGGGCTGGGCAGAGTCTGCAGCCGGATGTTCCAGGCTCCCAGCAGAGGCGTAGCTAGGGTTACCAGGTGAGTTCAAAAAAAAAAAAAAAAAAAAAAA